TATGTTGAAATTACTTTGAATAATATGAGTAGGTAAACCCCCCCAATGCTTGAGGGTGTCCCTGATTTGATTTTGTAAATGCCTTGAATTTCGAATTTCAGTAATTTATTTGTTCTTCATATTCAATTTAATCATACAAAGTTTTTAATGCTTTCTTTGTCGGACCAACAAGGATCGAATTGCGGTTAATAATTTTGCTGGATTGCCGTTGTTAAGGTATTTGTATGAAATTAAACCATAGTAGATATCACCCAGGACTAGGAATACCCTATAGTTACCGGTTAAATCTTGATAAAACAAAGGCTTGATTTCATCATATTTATCTAAGGACTTAGGATTTAGGATGAACGCTCAAAGGTTTTCTCACTAAGGACTTAGGGAAAAATAAACTAAAGATCTGGTAATTGAGTATTTTGAACTTGTTGAAGAAATCAGGATTCAAGGTTGTTATAGAGAAAATCATACACTTTACCCTTACATGTTCCTCATATCTGTCAAAAAGTCAATTTATTATTCTGCTTATTTTTACTTATCGTTCAGTGATAATTTCTAAACAAACCCCAGTTTAAGTTTTTGTTTAATTAGACCATGAATTGAACTCGATACTTATACGCAGTCTTTGAGATTAACATTCGAGGAATTTTCCTGTTATTACTACAAGATGCAAAATAGTGCACTTTCTATTTTTCCGATCAAGTTTTTGGCGTTGTTGCCGGAGACTGCCAAAATATAGAGTTTAATTGTAGTTTAATTGAAATTTTTTTGCCCGTTAACTAAAATTCTATTTACAGTTTTATTGTTATTATTTGTGTCTTGTTACTACTAATCTGTGTCTGATATTTTTACGCGAGGAGAATCCTCAGCTAATTTTCCTTTTGGCATAGAAATCGAAAGGACTTTCCATGCAAGGAAGGCAAACTCGATTGTCCAGAATGACCTCAAAGTCAGAGGAAGATCATTTAGTTCATACGGAGTCAGAGTCAGAAGAAGAAATCCCAATGGGTGAAAATCCATCAGCACCTTGTAATAACCAGAAAAAAATATAGTCACCACCATTAATTTTTATCCTAAGACGGGGATATAACAGAATAACTCTAATTGTTGATATAGAGATTCGAAATTCTTGACTCACTTTAGACGAATGGAAGGTGTTAGGCACCTTTCATCTACCTTGTTCACAAGGATACTAGGGTTTAGGTTTAAGGTTTAGAAATAGAGTTTTAATTTTAATTAGGGGAACTCGCCATTGTTTTGAAGTCGTATGCCTACGTATCCTCTTATGAGGAATCCAAATCTCAATTCTTAGTTCGTAGTTGTTCGATTAGTTTTTCTTATGGATTATGGAAATATCTCAAATTCTCCTTGAACCAAGTCTGAGTGTGTGGATAGCGGAATTTGTAGACGTAGTTCACAGTCAATAAAAGAAATCTCCATAATTCTTTTTGGAAATAAATATATATTTGAGTTATGTGAGTAGAAAAAGTTAGTATTTGATTGGTTAGATGTTTTCAAATATATGATGCGACATGAGAAAAATAGATTTTTAATGCATGAGAAAAATATTTAATGCAAAAAAAAATTAGGGTTAGCATTTTAGAAAAGAATTTTGATTAATAAATAACTATTCTAATTATTAAAAATATATTAAATATTTTTAATAACAATTTAATAATTATTTATTAATAATTATGCAAAAATATATTTAATGCAAATGCTACAAAAATATATGTGGAAATGAAAATAAATAAGCAGAAATTAAAATAATTTAATTTAGTTAAAAATGGGTGTAAAAGTAGAGGCTAGGTGTGTATCATAAAAATATTTGGGCTCAAAGTAATTTTGAATCCAAATAACAGGGGGTGCAAATTAGCGCTTGGTAGTAATATAGAGAGGTGTGGACATTAAGGGCTCAAGTCCAAAATTTGGACTTGACCCATTACGCAAAAGGGGCGTGGGTTTTAACTTCGTAGTAATTTTAAGGATGCTGGTAGCATTGGGCCTAAGCCCAACTTTCGTTTGGAGTCCATAAGGTCAGGGGGTATGAAATATTAGCTTTGTAGAAAAAATGGGGGCGTAGGAGTCAGAGGCCCAAGTCTAGATATTGGACTTGGCCCACTAGCGCGGGGGTGTATCGTTGGGCTGAGGAAACAATTGTGGGGGTTGATTTAGCAATGGGCTTGGCCTAAATCTTTAAATGATGGGAGGTCTGTTTGGACCGCGTATGAGTGTGCATTGGGAGTTACAGTGGGCGCACATCTATGGAGCGTTTGATCAAGATTGTGCGGTGATGATTGAAGGTGCACAATACGGGTACAGGAGATCACGTGGCCATATGTTGGCCACATGTCCTAACGAATTACAAGACGAAGGGAGTATATCATTTCATTTTCTTAATATTTTCATTCATTTTCAACACTCTTTCTCTCTCTCTCTCTCTCTGTCATTACCCTCAGTTCTCTCTTCTCTCGTTCTCTCTCTAACAACCAACAACAACCATACCCCAGCCAAACCCTAATTGAAATCAGCGGCAATGCTAACCCTCCTTGGCCCCAAATCAAACCCCCATCCACCTCATATCATTACAACAACATCAATTACAAAAATATTAAAAAGCTAAGCATAATGTTTACCTTTACCCGCCGTAGATCTTCAAGCTCAGTTTGTTTTGCGCCTCCACTAATCTCCTCCCTTTGTTTGTTTTACAGGTACCAGAAGATGATGATGGAAGCGACGCGATGGTGATTTGAAGGAAGATTTAGGGTTTCTGTTCACAAACCCTAGATCCATATAATAGGGAATGTTGTACCCTAAAATTTTCCCTCCTTTTTTCTCAAGACATTTCTTACAAAAGTTCCCAAATGCTCAAGGATTCTCAAGAGCTGATCAGACAAGCTCACCCCCTAAGCACTAGGTCCATAACTAGGGTTTTGTTTTTCTCAAGGAAAATTGGACTTCTAATGCCCTAAGTGACTTTCATGATTCCTCATATGTCTTAAAGAATGCTCATACCAAGTTTCAAGCCTTGCATCACAAATTTGCTCAGTCAATTGCTCATATGACTGGAAATCAATTGTATTGGGTAAAAAGTCAACTTTGGTCAACATATAGTCAAACTTCAAGATTTTTTTCCAGCATCAACATTTTTATATGATATTCATCATTTGATCAAGGGTTTATCATAATCCCTCAAGGAAAGCACTCAAATCATCAAAGAGGCAAAATTGTCAAAATTAGGGTTTTGATTGAGAATGATTGATCATTGACTTTTGACCTAGTACATGACCTAATGACTTGAAGTATGATCTTAAGTAATCAAACACAACATCTTGATCTAATTAAATAGTTTAAGACATTTCCAAAGGTGCAAGAGATTGATAGTTGAAGAATTGAGATCAACTGAGGAAAAGTCAATTGTCACACAAAAGTCAAACTTTGACTTTTTGGTCAACTTTGAACTTCAAAGGTCAAGATTCATCAAGACATTCAAAAATATCAAACTTGATCATCAAGAATCAAGAAAAGTCAAAAGTTGGAAAATTTTCCAACACTTAGAAAAATTTCTAAGTGTTTTATCCTTATTAAATTCACTACTTCATGACCATTTTTCACTATGATGCAAGATGATTCAAGGAAAACTTTCAACATGAAAGTTGTAGAGCATGATGAATTCTACAACTTTGTCAGGTTGATGTCCAAAAAATGCTTGGATTAGGAGATATATACCCATGAAGTCATGACATTTTTATCTAAACACTTAGTGAAATTTTCAACAAGTTTGGTCAAATTTTTGTCCCAACTTCTTGGCCAATTTTCACTAAGTTATAATTTGATTTAGCCAAAGTGGTCAGCATGAAAGTTGTAGACAATGTTTTAAGCTTTCCAAAATTTCCAAGAACACATTTTTATCATGCTTGAGCTAGGAGGTTCGAAGAGATGAAGTTGGGCATCCATTCTTGAATTACAAGTCATTTCCTTGATGAAAACATAATCAAATCCTCATCTCATGCTGCACAATCTTGCTTTGCAGGCCTCTTAACCTCTAAATTTATCCATAATCATAGACCTACTATAGACAAATTATATATAGCTTTATGTATCTGACATCTACTCGACCCAATATGTTGTTTGCGGTGAATCTAATTAGCAGGTATATGGAGAATCCTATTGAACCGCATTTACAAGTGGCCAAAAGGGTGCTGAGATACTTAAGAGGAACAATTAAGTTTGGAATCTTCTACCGGAAGGACAAAAATAACGAGCTTGTTGCTTACACTGACAACGATTATGCACGGGACTTGGATGATAAGAAGAGTACTTTAGATTATATTTTCTTGTTGAGCTCAGGTGCTGTTTCTTGGTCATCGAGGAAACAACCAATTGTGAGTATATCAACCACAGAAGCAGAGTTTATAGGTGCAACTTCATGTGCATGTCAAGCCATATGGCTGAAAAGAGTGTTGGGAAAACTGTGTAAAAATAAAAGCAAAGCCACTGTGATTCGTTGTGATAGTAGTTCTATTATTAAGCTTTCGAAGAATCCAGTAATGTATGGTCATTATAAGTATATTGATGTTCGTTTCTATTTCCTTTGGAATTTGACAAAGGCTGGAACTGTAGAGCTGATACACTGTAACACACAAGAACAATTGGAATATATCATGACGAAACCACTCAAGATGGATGTTTTTCTGAAGCTACGCAAATCTCTAGGAGTTTGTTTAGATAGTGATATAAACTGATTGCATATAACATTCAGTTTAAGGGGATGATTTGTTGGTCAGTTTTGTGGTTTTTCTGTTTTATGAGTAGTTATTTCCTTTTGAATTAATCTACCATGTTATTAGGAAGTGCTAGTAGTGGGTGAAAACATAGATAATTTTTTTTTTCAATTTCTCATCCGTAAAGCTATATATGAGCCAAATTGTTTCTTTTAATATATCAAACATTCCTTCTGACAATTTCCTTATACTTTCATATACGAATTTTAGTTCCTAACAAATTCATGACGAATGGACTTTGTATTCTTTGATAACCCATATTTCAACCGTATCATTTTTCATAGACCATAGACTGAGAAATTCTCCAAATACCCACAAATCACAAAATTTAGGATCGATGTCAAAACCACCCGACATCGGGATAGACATCTGTAGAAGTTTCCTTTCGGCTAAATCAAAGGCAATAATAAAATTCATTGATGTATCACTATTAAAAGCCAACCAATGAATAGCCCCATTAAAAAGAGACCATACTCGGGGATTATCAGACGCATTCATATAAGGGAAGTAAGTACCCTCAGTTTCTTTCCATGTATTAGCTCTCAATGAGAAAAATTCTAAATGCGGTGAAATATGAGCTAAGGCTGGATTATAGGACATTGAAACCACCAAGTAGTCATCTGTTGAGGGGTCGTACCCAAAACCATCTAGATAACAAAAATAATTGAAATCTAAATTCAAATTAAAAGGGGAAAAAGATATTTGTTTGTGAACTGCATTTGATGGTTTCCATAGGTACATGCTAACAAAATTGTGGAAATATATAAACCCATTGCATTGTTGAATAAACATTAAATATGTTAGTAATAAGTTTTACATTAAATATGGTAGTAGGAAGGACAAGAGTTTGATAAGTTATGATAGTTATTAGTAGCAGTTATGTTTTAGTTTATGTTTAGAATTGTAAAAGTTGTTTGGGTCTATAAAAGACCAAGTGTGTATTTTATTTTACAAGAGCAATATACAAGTTTTGTTACAGAAGTTTGATTCGATTCTAACAATTTAGCATCATAGCTCATGGCAAACATGATGAATCAAATGCCGTTGCCACGGCTAACAAAGTCAAATTATGAAAACTGGAGTATCCAAATGAAAGCTCTTCTTGGATCTCTAGACGCGTGGGAGGTGACCCATGATGGGTTTGAAGAACCAACAAAAGTTGGGGGATTTACGGCAGCTTAAACGAAGACGTTGAAAGAGACGTGATCGAAGGACAAAACGGCATTATACATGTTGTTCAGGGTTGTAGATGAATCAGGCTTCGAGAAAATTGCTGGTTCGACTACGTCGAAACAAGCGTGGGACACGTTAGAAAAAGTGTTCAAAGGAGCAGATCGAATGAAGCAAGTTCGACTCCAAACTCTTCGTGGCGAATTGGAGAGGATACAGATGAAGGATACATAAATTGTATCTGACTACATCACACGTGTGCAAAAGGTGGTGAATCAACTCACCAGAAATGGAGAGACAGTACCTGATGCACGAGTTGTTGAAAAGATCTTGAGATCTTTAACAAACAAGTTTGAAAATATTGCATGTGCAATAGAAGAGTCGAAGGACCTTTCGACGCTCTTAATCGAAGAGCTCGCTGGTTCTCTCGAAGCACATGAACAACGAAAGATGAAAAAGAAAGAAGAAGCAGACGAAGAAGCAAACCAAACCAAGGAATCGAACAAAGACGAAAAGGTACTCTTTTCTCAGAACTTTCGAGGAAGAGGACGTGGACGTGGAGGTCGTGATAGTGGTCGAAGTGGTAGAGGTAACAACTTCGAAAGAGGACATTCGAGCCAACAAAATTGGCGTGGCAGAGGACGTGGTCAAAGAGGTGGTCGTTCGAATGATTCCAACTTCGAATGCTACATACTTATCTTTCTAGGCAGTGATGTTCAAATGATCGAAGACTTCAAAAGCACCATGACAAGCGAATTCGAAATGACAGACTTAGGTCTGATGAGATTCTTCCTTGGTCTGGAGGTTCAACAAGAAGAAGCTAGAATTTTCATCTCACAAGAAAAATATGCAAAGGAAATCTTAGAAAAATATAAAATGAAGAATTGCAATCCAACTTCGACGCCAATGGAACCAGGTACAAAACTATCAAAGTTTGATGGAGGAGAACGGGTCGAAGGAAGCAAATATCGAAGCTTGGTAGGTAGCCTTCGATATCTCACATGCACAAGGCCAGATATTTCACTAAGTGTTGGCATAGTGAGTCGATTCATGGAGGAGCCAGTACACACACATTGGAAGGCGCTGAAACGAGTTCTAAGATACATCCAAGGAACAATATCACTAGGAATGTTTTATTCAAAAACAAAAGACTACAAGTTAGCTGGTTATTCTGATAGTGACTGGTGTGGAGACATAGACGATCGAAAGAGCACCTCTGCATAATGTCCATACTTCCCACACTTGTAGCATTCGAAGTTGGAATCATTCAAACGACCACCTCTTTGACCACGTCCTCTGCCGCGCCAATTTTGTTGGCTCGAATGTCCTCTTTCGAAGTTGTTACCTCTACCACTTCGACCACTGTCACGACCTCCACGTCCACGTCCTCTTCCTCGAAAGTTCTGAGAAAAGAGTACCTTTTCGTCTTTGTTCGATTCCTTGGTTTGGTTTGCTTCTTCGTCTGCTTCTTCTTTCTTTTTCATCTTTCGTTGTTCATGTGCTTCGAGAGAACCAGCGAGCTCTTCGATTGAGAGCGTCGAAAGGTCCTTCGACTCTTCTATTGCACATACAATATTTTCAAACTTGTTTGTTAAAGATCTCTGGATATGTTTTCCATTAATAGTAATTAATGACATTGTTACTATTATTTTTTTACTAATGTTAGATAACATTCTTACTAACTAACATTAGTATTTTTATAAAATAAACAGAAAATCATACCTATATATTGATGAATCTAAATTGTCATTTTCAAACCAAAGTTACATTGCAGCTACATGTTTGGAGAAACAAGAGATGTCAAACAAAATTCAAAGAAAATATATCTTGATCCATTCAACCTACTTTATTACTATTTACTATTTGTCAATTATTAAAACAGAGAACTTTGTTATGTAATATTATTGTAGGTTAGTGAATAATAGAAATGTACAATTTAGATTCACAAATAGTTTGGTAATTATTGTAATATTTTATCTATTAAATATAAGAAATTGTTTACCACTTTTTTGGATTCCAAATATAATAAAAATTTACCACATTTTAAGAGGCATTAATCCTTTATTTTACTTTTATACCCATATTTTGATTTTAATAAAAATGAATGTACCAATTTTATTAAGGGTGTAGCTTCAACTTCTTCTTTGTTATGCGAACTAAGTTGACTAAATAGACAAGCTATTATTTTTTGAAAGAGATTTTAGATAGATTTTTTCTGCTGTTTCAAGAGGAGGTCGTTCTAATATAGTCCATGTTATTAAAACAGGTAAAAGTGAACGTATCTATGAGACACCGGTTGTAAATTGTTCATTTTAATATCCATCTATAAATTTTTTTTTTTGTTATTACTTATATAATTGAAGTTAGAGAATCGGCTTTATGATTTATTATTAGTACGAATGAATAGTTAAAAGTTAATGAATATTATTAGCCTATATTTATAGGCCATCTGTAACGATTTATAAGCAAATTTTTCTTTTACATTCATTGTATAATTAATGTATCTGGTCTATATAGATCAAATATATATATATATATATATATATATATATATATATATATATATATATATATATATATATATATATATATATCGATCAAATAAAAAATAAATATATATTTTATAAATGATAACCTGATAGACGTGTAATATAAATTCAGACGGAATTCGTGCAATATCACGAATTTCTTACTAATTATATTCATTTGATCATAATTGCAGCTCATATGTCATGCTCATGCCAATGATTTTTGTTATATTTTATAATTTTTCTAATTTCATATTATTAATAGTTATCATCACTAATTTCATATAATTAATTAATTAATTCATTCATTCAGGTTATGGTACAATGCACATTAATGATAAAGTTATCATCATTAAACCATCATTATCATCATTACTATTACTTCCTTTAGCCTTAGGTTTTGGATCTGAGAATTCGAATTCGAATTCGAACCAGTGGTTTTAGTTTGAGAATTCGAATTCGAACCAGATACTGAACTCCTCGAAACATTTTTGTCCAAGTGCGTAGCTTTATTCATAGTATCAACATCCTTTAACAATTTCTTCTGGTTTCCAGAAACCAAACTATTCTTCTTACCATCCATTCTCGACAGCATCATCTTTTGCCCATATAAACAAAACAAAACAAAATTTAACTAAATTAACATTAATTTAAATGAAACAGAACCAAACCCAGAATTTATATTTTGAAAAAAATAAAAAATTTAGCAAATTAGCATACAATTAAAAATTAAACACAATAATCACAATTGATTATCAAGAACGAACCAAACCCATAATTTAGGAATAAACAAAAAATTAGCATAAAATTTAAAATAAAACAAAATAATTACGTTTGACTGACAAGAAAAGGGTTAATCGATTGAGTACCCGAAGAGAAAGGGAATAAATTTAGGTCAACAAATTGAATTTGTTGCAGATTAGGAAATTCCTACTAAAATTGAAACTGAAAAAGTGTGAATGAAAAAAATTGGATTTTTTAAATAAAAATTCAAAGAAATAAAAAATTGGGAAAATGATATCGTACATTATAGTTATGTTTTGTGTGAGATAGCAAAGCCTCTCCAGTAACGTAAACCCACACAAAGGTGGTGCAAAACTCCATTGATGGAGTAGAAAATGCAGAAAGAAGCAATACAATCAAGTTTATACAGTTAGGTTTTTAAGTTAGTTAGACTAGTGTAACCACCTAATCAGTTAGTCATGACTTATAACTAATTTTACATGAAGCCATGCAACCAGTTAGTCATGACTTATAACTAATTTTACATGAAGCCATGCAACGTAACTAACTTTACATTCAGCCATGCACTTTAATCTCCTACATCTATCTTGGTGAGGACGAGTGAAAGGGAGTGGAAATAGATTTACACCCTGTGAGGCCAGCATCTTGCAAGAGTTCAAGACAGTATTTGTGCTGACAATGTAATCCCTTTAGAGGATCGAGCAACTTCAAGTCCTAAAAATAATTTCAGTTGTTCAAGATCTTTGATGTGGAATGTTATGTCCAATGCTCTTTTTAAATCTGCAAACACAGTTTATGAAGTTCCAGCAAGGATGATGTCATCCACGTAAACAAGGATAGCAGTAAAAGAGGAAGTATCAGATTTAGTGAAGATAGTATGATCAGCACGTGCATGAGTAAAACCCTGGGCCTGAATAAAAGTGGTCAACTTTTCAAACCATTGACGGCTAGCTTGTTTCAAGCCATAAAGTGACTTTACAAGTTTGCAAACCTGTCCTGATTTGAAAGATTGAACACCTTGAGGCAACTTCATGTAAACTGCTTCATGCAGATCACCATGTAGAAAGGCGTTGTTCACATCCAGTTGATGTAAATTCCAGCCATGGATAGAGGCAAGAGCCAGTAAAAGTCGAATTGTGGAAAGCTTCGCTACATGAGATAAGGTTTCAAAGTAATCCAAGCCTTCTATTTAATTAAACCCTTAGGCCATGAGCCTCGCTTTTGGTAGCAGCTTGGTAACTATTGGGTTCAGATTTAGATGAAAGGGACATAATGTAGGCTTGGTATGTAGGAGATAAG